CTCCTCTGCACGGCGCGGCCAGGGCGGGCGGGGCCGCGGCTGGGAAGGCACTGCAGCGCCGGGCAAGGGCGGGCCAAGGGGAGGTGGGGCGGGGCCTGAGGGCGGGCGAAGGGGCGGGGAAACAAGGAGATGCAAACGTGCAGAGGCGTGGCATTTGGCGAGAGAGGAGGATTAAGGAGGGTAGGCGAGAGGCGGGGAAAATGAGAAAAGGGCGTCTTCTACCAGAGTGTAAGCTTTTTAGAGAAATGGGCGGGGTTTGGGCTAGGCTGAGGGGGTTTGGGCTAGGCTGAGGGGTTTGGGGAGAAAAGAGAAGCTTAGGGAGAGAGCATACTGATGAAGATTAAAGAATACAGCCTTCAGTATGGAATGCACCTCAGTGTAAAGAATCCGGAATCGTCATAACTGGACCAATAAATAACATCAGGGTAAATGGAGAAAAGATTAAAATCGTCAAAGACTTCATTTTGCTTGAATCCACAATAATCCTTGATGAAAGCACCCGTCAAGAAATCAAACGACGTACGGCATTAGGCAAATCTTGCTGCAAAAGACCTCTCTAAAGTTTTCAAGAGTAAAGATAGCTCTTGAGGGCTAAGTAGCGTCTGACCCAAGTCATAGTATTTTCAATCGTCCCATACTCCTGTGAAAGTTGGACAGTAAGTAAGGAAGACCGTAGAAGAATCGATGCATTTGAATTTTAGTGTTGGAGAGTAATATTAAAAGTACCACGGACTGCCATACAATAAACAAATCTGTCTTTAAAGAAATGCAGCCAGAGTGCTCCTCAGAAGCCAGGGTAGCAAGAGAGTTCGTCTCTCATACTTCAGACATGTGATAAAGAGGGACCAGTCCCTGGAGAAAGACATCATGCTTGGTAAAGTGGAGGGTCATAGAAAGAGATTATTAGTCGTCAAGTAGGTTCCGACTCATAGTGACCCTGTATAGGATTTCCAATGATCAGCTGGTGAGTTTGAACAGCCAACCTTGCGGTTAGCAGTCCAGTGCTTATTCTATAATTCCACACCTATAGCGCTTTTGTACTGCTCAACTCAAGCCCAAGGCTTCAAAACCTCCTGATCTTCCACATCCGAGCTTCACCTCTAGCAATTCACAGGCTCACCTTGTGGGATCTGCCTCAACCTTCTGGGTTTCCTAGTCCCTCTCTGCCCACTTCTAGCTCAGATTATTTTAGCCCCATCTATTTTAAGCTCCTCACCTCAAAACCTTTTGGGTGCTTAAGATAAGCACTGGACTGCTAACTGCAAGGTCAGAGGTTCAAACACACAGACCCTTCTTGGAAACTCTATATAGGATCGCTATGACTCATGACGCTTAACTTTCTTCTCACCGGCTTTCTCTGACCTCACTCCCTTCCTTCGTGAATGCAGATTTAAACCCTACCTCAGAACATATTTCTATCTTCTTCCCAATATATACATTGCCTCATTCTTTCTGCCTCTACCACCTACCCAATAACATCACGTCCATTCGGACTCATGTTAAGTGCCGCCTTTTGGTTCAGATTCATGTTGTTAAGTACTGTTGAGTCAGTTCCAACTCTTAGTGACCCTGTATAGGGTTGCCTAGGGGAGGCTGACAAGTTTGAACCATCCACCTTGAGGTTCAAACCGACCTTGTGGTCCAGTACTTTATCAGCGCCACACCAGGACTCTTCTGGCTCAAATCAACCCTTTATAGGATTTCTGAGAAGCCGCTGGTAGTTTAGAAGGCTGACCTTGCTTATGGGAGGAGCTTAGAAATGAGTGAGGCCTAAAATAATTAGAATATTCAGATAATTGGGAGGGGTCAGACACCCCCCACCCCCACCCCCCAGGATCAGAGCTAGAGAGAGACGGGGCCAAAAGGGATGAGAGGGAATAGGATAGAACCCTGAAAGAGAGAGGCAGATCCCAGAAGGTGGTCTTAATCTGGACAAAGGCTAGCCCTGAATTGCCAGAGCACAGAATGGAATGTCGATCTGGTCTTTAGGCAGAGCTCCGATAAATTCTGAGGCCGTGGAGTTGAGTTGAGGAGTGTTATAAAAGCGCTAGAGGTGTGGTGCTATTGGATAAGCACTGGGCTGCTAACCGCAAGGTTAGCTGTTCAAACCCACCAGCCTCTCCTTGGATATTTTATGCCTAGTTGCTATGAGTCGGAACCAACTGGATGACACTTAACAATAGAAAAACAACAGAAGTTCAGGGCAGCTGTCAAACAAAATTAAATGAATTAAAGGTTTGGAGGTGTGATGGTGGGGACAGGCCCGGCTGGGGAACCAGAAGCCAAGAGTGTTATGGTTTAAGATCATAGCTTATAGATTTCGATGCCCAGTAGCAAAAATCAGTAACCACAGATAAGTATTTCTCTATGACTCGGTTTTCTTTTCTGTAAATTGAGGTGTAAAATGACGAGGCCACATGGGTAAGTTTTGAGAATCATTTTCTTATTTATAATTTTCCTCACTCATATTGCAAATCCTGCTTTGAACGTTCAGGAGACCAGAACAAGACATCCAATTCCTTCTTTTATCTCGACTTGACCTACTGGTCAAAGACATAGGAAGGAGGTTTGTTGTAGTTGTTTAGTGTTTGTTATACTATCGATTCTGACTCATAGAGACCCTGTATAGGATTTCTGAGGCTTGTAAATCTTTGCAGGAGCAGAAAGCCTCATCTTTCGCCAGCGAGGAAGGGGATTAATTAAGGTGGTTTAAAATCTGCACAGTGGAGCAGATTAATGGCTGGGGGCAGGCGCAAAGGGTGGAGCCTTCTTGATTTTAGGGGCTAAAGATGGAGGCCCTACTGAAGCAGAGGAGAAGGAGGTAAAGAACTAAACTTAGGTGCAGATCCCCTGATGGGCCTTAGTCCTTCCTGGCTGCGCTGCGCTCGGCGGCCGCAAGGGGGTGTAGTGGCCGCGTGGAGCCTGAGCTTCAGGAAGGGCACTGCGCGGGCCTCTAGCGGCCTGGGCTGTCTCTGCGCTGCGCTTTCTTCACTGCCCTCGACTGCCTTAGCGCGGCATGAGCCTTCAGATCCGCGAGTGCTACCTGCCACGTGCTCGAAGAGCGGGGCCTTGCTCCTGGCAAGCCTGAGGCGTGAGCTACGCCTGCGCGCGCTCTGGTCCTGCAGCGAGCCCAGCGGCTCCACCCCTCAGGTATTGCTAGTGTCCCCGCGCTTCCGGTACCTGGCGTAGCTCCATGACTCCTGTGGTGTTCTGAGCCGCGCCGCCGCCATGGCCTTCAGCACCGAGGACCACAGGGCCCTGCGACCCTGGGAAAGCGAGCGCATCAAAAACGAGGGTGGCACCATTCACCACCAGCGTATAGAGAGGCCTTCCCTGGGGGTGTCAGGGGCGCTGGACTACTTTGCCATTAAGGAGGCTCTAGGGAGTCCTGGTGTGGCGCTGTGACTAAGTACAACAGAAAGAAATAGTGCTCAGCCCTGTAGCATCCACAGTGTCCGTCCATCTTGTTGAAGATCTTTCTCCTTTTTGCTGACCCCTACCAACCATGTTCTACAGGGATCGGTCCCTCCTGATAGCCTGTACAAAGAATATGAAACAAAGTCTCACCGTCTTCACTTCTAAGGAGCAGAACTGGCTGTTCTTATTCTGCACTAGATTTGTTCATTCTTCTGACAGTCCATGATACTGTGAATATTCTTTGCCAACACCATGCCATAACTCAAATGTATCACTTCTCTGGTCCTCATTCATTGTCCAGCTTTCACATGCATATGAGGCTATTGAAAATATCATGGCTTAGGTCAGGTACACTGGTCCTCAAAGTGACATCTTTGGTTTTTTGAAACGTCAAAGAGATGTTTTACAACACAACAGATTTGTCCAATGCAATACATAGTTTGACTCTGACTGCTGATTCCATTGGTGTTGTGGACTCAGGTAAAATGAAATCATTGACAGCTTCAATCTTTTCCATTTATCATAAGGTTGTTTGTTGGTGCAGGTGTGAGGATTTTGTTTTGTAAAGTTTTGATTGTGCATTGAGTGATAGTTTACATGGGAGAACATTGGTTTTACACTCATCGTTTCATTGCAATGATAACAATCTACTCATGAGGATTTTTGTTTTCCTTATGTTGAGGTAATAATTTGTTATTTACTGCCGTCGAGTCTGTTCCAACCCATAGCGACCTTGTATAGAGTTTCTGAGGAGCGACTGGTGGGCTTGATCTGCCTACCTTGAGGTTCAAACCGACTTTGCAGTCCTGCACATTAACCATAGTGTGATGGTTACCAGCACTAGTCTTCATCAGTAAGTGTTTCAAGTTTGTCAGCTTTCAGCAAACAAATTGTGTTATGTGCATATCACAGGTTGTTAATGCGTCTTCCTCCAATCCTGATGCTGCGTTCTTCATATAGTCTGTCTTCTTGGATTATGTGCTCAGTATACAGGTTGAAGAAGTGGGTCTGGTAGCACAATGGTCACGAGTTGGGCTGCCAACCTCAAGGTCAGCAGTTCGAACTACCAGCGGTTCCGTGGGAGAAAGATGAGGGGTTCTGCTCCTGTAAAGATTTACAGTCTCGGAAACCCTGTGTATGGTCACTATGAGTCAGAACCGACTCCACGGTATTTAACAACAACAAATACAGGTTGAAGAAGTATGGTGATTTCAAATCGGACTAGATCCTCTTGTTCTTTCTGAATGGCTGCCTCCTGATGTGTGTACAGGTTCCACATGAGCACAGTAAAGCGTTCTGGAATTCCCATCCTTCGCCATGGTATCCATAGTTTGTCATG